GCATATCAGAACTGAATACTTATTATTGTTTAATAATTTTTCTTTATTAAAATGTATTTTAAGATGTTTTTAAATTGATTGTTGAAATGAAATGTTTTGTAGACTTTTTCTAATATTTAATACCTTAAGAAAGATCTATAAAGTCATCGATTGCTTGTATTTAATCAATAAAGAAAATGTTTATGTATTTCATTGACTATTATTTTCAATTGCAAAATATGTTATTTTTAAATTGCAAATAATGTTTTCATGTTATCAATCAATTATTTAAATCTCTTTTTTCGTAATAAATATTGTGTTTGTTTTAAAATTCGTTAAGAAATTGATATTTATATTCAGTTCTTGACGTCAAATACAAATTGATAATAAATTGACGAAATGAGGGCAAAAATATAACAAATTATGGATTAAAATAAAATAGAAATTTAATTTTCTTGAATAAAGAAGTAATAATCGTATAACACGTTACGGATTGATACCAATGATTGATTATAAAAGCCAAAGGTTTTCATTCACTGCTTTTCATTGAATATTCCTCTTTTCCCAGTTTGGACATAACGCAGACGTGCTATCATTATATGCAAAGTAAACATTTTTAATTAGATTTACCTCTACTTCCATATGAAAGCAATTTTATATAATGTGTACAAAAGTTTTACATTAAGTTCTCGAAAGTATTCATTATAATCCATATTACAGCCAACGATAAACTTATTGGGAATATTGAATCCAACATCTGTTACAACCATTTTCAATCAAAATCAGTCAAATATAGAAATATAAATCACAACTAAATGCTCATTGATTTACAGTCAGGAGTGTATCCATTGCTAAGTGGCGTCCGCTTCACGAAAAGACTCGTCACTCGAATTGATTTTAAATCGTATTCTTTTAATAGTTCCCGGAGTTTAACCATTGTATTGCCCGTATCTATGATATCCTCCACTATCAATACATTCTGTCAAAGCAGACAATTTTGTCATTAAAATTACATTAACATACAAATAGGTGTACTCTCAACACAAATAGTAATTGTGTATACCTTTCCTCTCAATGATTCTAACGATTCAATTCCAATAACTTTCAAATTGGAAGTCGACTTATCGTCTTCATAGCTCTTGAGTCTTATAAACTCGACTCTAATTTGTTGTGCAAAGTCTGTGCCATTATATGGTTGCGAAGGGTCTGCGTAACGATATCTATAGA